AGGAATATTTTAGGGATTTTAGTAACATATTGATTGCAGCATGTTGTAATATATAGTATATGCAAACTTTCTAACGTGAATAAAGGTTATAAAGGTTATAAAGGTTTATTGTTAATTGTATAGTATTATATTAATATTATATAAGACTGTGTTACTTTCTCTCAAACCGAAAGACAGTTAATTTTTATTTGTTTGTTTATGAATTGTATAAATTTAAACAATATGTATAAATTTATAACAACAATATGTATAAATTTATTTACTAAACTTTTATTCACATTATTAGAACATGATACTTGTATAAACTAAATATAAAAAATAAAAGTGGTTTATAATATTATTTCATAATTATGAAAAATGTCTTAAAATAAAAGCATTTTTATGCGCAAGTCCTATTCCATCTTGTTCTTCATTTACAATATTCTCAAATATAGGTTCATTAAATTCCTCTTCAATTATTTCGCCTAGATTATGTTTAATGCACACATTATGCAAAACGGCAGTGGCGCAAATAATTGCCACTGATGTGCTTAACTTCGTGCGTAAGCCATAATACAGGCATGGAAATCGACGTTTCCAAGATCCAAATAGCTGTTCAACGATAACTCGCGTTTTCTTATGTGCGATATTGTATCGAACTTCTGACTCTGTTTCAGGTCTTAAAACAGGTGTTAGTAGATAGCTGCGGCACGCATATCCACTATCACCAAGTAGAATTCCGTCCAGGTGCTTCAACTCGAAACGACAGCGCAGACCGCTTCGATCAAATATTACGGCATCGTGAGTTGAACCTGGATGCCTAACAACAATATCAAGAATTTCTCGTTGGGGTCCAGCTGCAACCTGTAAAAATAATAAATCATAGAAATTATAAACATTATTATTTCATTCATATAATCATTCAAAATTTAACATATAATATACATATATAGAAAGAATTCTTGAAAAATATACCTGTACATTCAAAGAAAACCATCCTTTTCTATTCCGAAATACTTCTCCATAATTCCGTCCAGGATTTGAAATGCTTATATGCGTGCAATCAATACACCCTATTACGGATGGAAAATTGGCTATCTCATAAAATTTATTTTTATTACTCCGACGTTTTTCTTCGGTGGAAAAATTAACATATTGACTCAAGTATGATGCTATAATTTTGGAGACTCGTACAATAATTCTAGATATTGTTGCTTGGCTATATCCTCGCAAGTCTCCATTAACAATCTGCAATTAAAACAACATAAATGAAATGAAAATGAATTATCTATTTACCGCAGTGTTAGAACATAATTTACCTGAAAACTGCTTGTTGCATAAAAACGCAGTGTTATTAAAAGCTGCATCAATGGGAAAACCGGCAGTCCACGATTATTCAATCGCCTTAATTGAGCATTTAATAAAGGTAATAAGATCTCGATCACAGTTCCTTTGCTGAATCTATACCTTTTCCGAAAAGGATCATCTTCAAAAAATTCCATAGGATTTTCCCAATCACGTATGTACCTTTTCGTAAGCCGCCATAAATTCTGATCCTCTTCATTTTCTTCTTCAAATCCATCATCAGAATCATTTACAAATTCGTTATTCATTATTAGTTTTGAAACGCGATACCACAGGTAACCACAAGAGAGATCAATATGACGAACTTGTGGAGATTTGTTTGGTTATGAAGACTGCATCTCTTCCTCAAGGAAGCTCGTAACCTCCCTTGAGAAAAGGAAGCTAATAAGGTCCCTTATTTAGTCAAGGAAGGTTTATGAAACATGAAATGAGGAACAAGGAATCCTTATTCCTCAAGGAAGGACTATGAATACGGGTGT